TGTTACTTTGCCTTTCAAATAAATCAATCTTAAAAAAAAAAAAAAGATATTTATTTTGGTGCAGAAAGCTTTTCAAATCCATGCAGTTTCTACTTAATACTTTTATAAACTTTTTAAAATAAAGGATTCTCATGTTAATAGTTTGCTGATGCATTTTTAACATCTGAAAGGCAGAAAGAGCTCTAATCCACCAAACGCCTGTAACAACGTCAGCCAGATGAAGCTGGGAGCTGGGAATTTAATCCAGGTCTCTCATATTAGCGGCAAGGACCTAACCACCCTAGCCATCACCTGCTTCCCTCACAGGGTACACAGTAACAGGAAGCTGGGATGGGAAGCAGAGTCAAGACTCAAACCCAAGCACTCCAATACAGGAGGCTAGGCTCCTAACTGGCATCTTAAGCACTATGCCTGCCTCTTTCATCAACATTTTTAGGACAATTTAAGTAATAAACTATTTTGAGAGAGACTACTACACTCACATAACTTTTACTAAAGTATATGACAACTGTTCTACTTTATTACTGTACTATCTTATTGTGTCTAATTTATAAATTGAACTGTGTATTAGATATACATGTATAGGGGAAAATATAGTGTATATGTAGTATTCGGTACTGTCTGTGGTTTCATGCATTCATTGGGGGTCCTAGAACGCATTTTTCTCCCTATGGATAAGGTGGGACTAATGTACATTGTTACATTTGATGTTTCAAACAGTGTTCAAAGCATTGTATGACTTGTATTTGCTGACTATTAATTCTTGGGTCTTAATGAAGCTTCAAAAGCAAAGTAATTTTGATTCCTGTAATGGAAACATCAGAAGTATTTCTGTTTAACCTACTCTGCACAGATGAAGAACAAATTCTCCTAAGTAACTTTATTACTCAAATACCATTCCTAATACAAAAGATATTGTATATACTCTTATCTCTGACCACCACCGATTCGGGCCATGGCCTGTTAATACAGAGAATACTCGAAACTGCCCCTTTCCTCCTAATACATAGATTAGAGCTCTAAGGCCTATGTTACTTTATCTAACTCATCCCTTCCAAGGCTATTCTGCTATCCCACTTCTCTTTATCTTATCTTTCTATCCTTGGATTCTGTTTTTTCTAAACTGGACACACTTAAATGAAACACTAAGCAGAAAGAAGATGGTACCCATTCATTGAAGACAATTAGAGAAGAATGAATCTCTGTACTACAGTTTCAACCAAAATTACCAATATTCACACCATGCATTCAAAGAAAAAGATCAGAAAAAAAAGGAATACTTATTTGTATTAAGTTCAAAAACTGCTATAAAAAAAGAAGAAATTGCTATAATAATCCAAGTTAGAGTCCTTTTGAGTTTTCTAACATTTTATTCAGGTACAATATTTATTTGGCTAGAGGAAAACTAATGAAAGATAACTTCAATTTATACAAATAAGTTTCACTGAGTAGAAACACAAAGTTCTACTAGTTTCATTCTACAGACATCCAGTTTACTTGGTTCATCTCATATATTCATATACTTATACGTACACCTTTATGATTTAGTAAGATTCAAGCTCTCATTGCAAGAGCAATATTATTTAATGCTAAAGACCATAAAACTTATTTTTGTTTACCTTCAATCCTGTTTCACTTCCAGAGTGAAAAGTCAAAGATATATTATAATATATTGGATGGGGGTGGGAAAGCATCCAGTATGATGCACTTTCATTGACTAGACAACTTAGCAATTCAACAACTCTAACAAATTTTAACTTTTGTTAAAATTTTTTTAGCAATGGGGCCGGCGCTGTGGCGCAGTGCGTTGACGCCCTGGCCTGAAGCGCCGGCATCCCATATGGGCGCGGGTTCAAGACCTGGCTGTTCCACTTCCAATCCAGCTCTCTGCTGTGGCCTGGGAAAGCAGTAGAAGATGGCCCAATTCCTTAGGTCCCTGCACACATGTGGGAGACCCAGAAGAGGCTCCTGGCTTCGGATCAGCGCAGCTCTGGCCGTTAGGGCCATCTGGAGAGTGAACTATCAGATGGAAGGCCTGCCTCCCCCCGCCCCTCTCTCTCTCTATCGCTGTAACTCTGACTTGAAAATAAATAAATCTTAAAAAAAAAAATTTTTAGCAAATGTTAGTCATTTAAATATTGAAGCCCAGTGTTATATACCCAGTTCAATTTTCAGAAGCATTAAATAAATGCTGCCTATAATATGGGAGATACCCTTAAATATTACCTTCATATATCTTTTATGTTCTAGTAGTGTCTTTTTGGTTTGGTTTGATCTGAAAGGGATGGACAGAGAGAGAGAGAGAGATCTTCAATACACTGGGTCACTCCGTGATGCCTACAACAGCCAAGGCTAGGCCAGGCCAAAGCCAGGAGCCCAGAACTCAGGCTGGGTCTCCCATGTGTGGCAGCAGACTAAATTCTTAAATTATCACCTACTACCTCCCAGGGTGCGTATTAGCAGAAAGGTGGAATCTGAAGCAAAGCCAGGACCTGTCAGGCACTCTGACATCAGGTGCAGGAATGCCTTAACAACTGTACCATACACCCACTCCTAGTCAGGTTTTTTTTTTTTACGATTTTATTTGAGAGGTAGAGTTACAGACAGTGAGAGGGAGAGACAGACACAAAAGTCTTCCATCCGTTGGTTCACTCCCCAAATGGCCGCAACGGCCAGAGCTGTGCCAATCTGAAGGCAGGAGCCAGGTGCTTCTTCCTGGTCTCCCATGTGGGTAAGGGGCCCAAGCACTGGGGCCATCCTCCACTGCTAACCCAGGCCATAGCAGAGAGCAGGACTGGAAGAGGAGCAGCCAGAACTAGAACCGGAGCCCATATGGGATGCCGGCGCCACAAGTGGAGGATCAACCTACTGCGCCATGCACCAGCCCCCAGTTTTTGTTTTGTTTTGTTTTATTTTTGACAGGCAGAGTGGACAGTGAGAGAGAGAGACAGAGAGAGAAAGGTCTTCCTTTGCCGTTGGTTCACCCTCCAATGGCCGCCGCTGCAGCAGGCGCACCGTGCTGATCCGATGGCAGGAGCCAGGAGCCAGGTGCTTTTCCTGGTCTCCCATGGGGTGCAGGGCCCAAGCACCTGGGCCATCCTCCACTGCACTCCCTGGCCATAGCAGAGAGCTGGCCTGGAAGAGGGGCAACCGGGACAGAATCCGGTGCCCCGACCGGGACTAGAACCCGGTGTGCCGGCGCCGCTAGGCGGAGGATTAGCCTATTGAGCCACGGCGCCGGCTGTTTTTTTGTTTTTTAAAAGAGTTCATGGGTGAGACTAGCAGCAGGAAATGGTATATAAAATTCTATGTAGGGGGGCTGGCACGGTGGCATAGCAGGTAAAGCTGGCATCCCATATGGGCGCCAGTTCGAGTCCCAGCTGCTCCACTTCCAATCCAGCTCTCTGCCATGACCTGGGAAAGCAGATGGCCCAAGTTCTCGGGCCCCTACACCCACAAGGGAGACCTGGAGGAGGCTCCTGGCTTTGGATCAGCACAGCTCTGGCCGACCCAGCCATCACGGCTAAGTGAGGAGTGAACCAGTCGATAGAAGTCAGTCAGTCAGTCTCTCTCTCTCTCTCTCTCTCTCTCTCTCTCTCTGCTTCTCCTACTCTGTGTAACTCTTTCAAATAAATAAATAAATCTTTAAAAAAAAATTCCACGTGGGGCCAACACTGTGGCACAGTAGGTTAATCCTCTGTCTGTGGCACTGGTATCCCATATGGGCGCCGGTTCAAGTCCTGGCTGCTCCTCTTCCAGTCCAGCTCTCTGCTGTGGCCCGGGAAGGCAGTGGAGGGTGGCCCAAGTACTTGGGCCCTGTACCCGGATAGGAGACCAGGAGAAGCACCTGGCTCCTGGCTTCGGATCGGCGCAGCGCGCCAGCCGTAGCAACCATTTGTGGGGTGAACCAATGGAAGGAAGACCTTTCTCTGTGTCTCTAACTCTGCCTGTCAAAAAAAAAAAAAAATACTCCACGTAGGTGTTCATATTTGCATCTTCTGACCTAGGTCCACACCTTCCATCAAAATCTTAAAGGACTTCATAATCTCCAAATAGGCAGAAAACTACTAATGTATTTTACAGACCTAAGAGAAGTGGAAAATTAATTGCTAAGTAAAATAAGGTATTCCTTCCACAAAAATGAAAACTCACAAGCCTTCTGGTTTTCCCAACTCTTGTTGTGTGCCTGAAATAAAAGCAGGAGTTTGAACTCATTTGCCCAGTGAAAGACACTGCCTGTCACCACATAACTCTCTCTGCAGTAATAAAAAAGGTTAATTATCTCTTTACCAAAAAGCCAAGATTCACTTGCAACAACCTGGAATAGCTAGGTGATATAAAACTTTTTTTCAATGGTCTTGCACCGTCTAAACTTTTTTGCAATAAAAGTTGTATACATTTTTCACCTACATGACCTCATGTTCCAAGACACAAAATGGCCAAAGTAATTATTCTCTTACTATAGTCCTTGCTTTCTTTCAGAATTTCACAATAATTCATGTTCAAGATGTCAATGGTAACAGCATTATTTATCTCAAAAGACAAAGTAATTCTATCCCTAGTCTGTCCGTGTAAATCTAAGAATTTGCCACCAGCTATCAAAGACACTGGCAGAACTTACTGGACAATGTTCCAAAAACCAGCACTGACATGACTTTTTAAAGTAAGTGAGAAAATTTACCCTTTCCACAAAAAGAGAAAGGTAGGATTCAAAGTTCTTAGGATTCTGGAATTATACATCAACAGGATAAAAGCCAAAGTTAAAGAAAAAAAAAAATCAGACTGTTTATTCACATTTCAAATCAAGGCAAAACATATTCAAAATTGTTCACTTTCAGCTTCTTGAATATTTTCTGCTTAAAGTATCCATTTTCTCCAAAGGAGCGTGATTAAAAATTCCTTTAAAATGTTTTTCAAGCTAACTTCCAATGTTCCTGCTATGCAGACTGAATTTTTCATCTGATTATTTTAGGAAAAGAGTAGCCTCATTCATAAGTTACCATTAAACCTAAAAGGGGAAACACGTTTCTTTCCAGAACCTTAGGGGGAAAAAAATGAGGAAAGTTGATGAAAGAACACTAGTGCCACGTCTTTTCCCCTCCCCCACTCACGTAGTGGCTATTGCATCCCTACAGAGCGCATTCCAAAGGAAAGTCCAAGAGCCACAGCTCTCGGAGAAACAGTTAAGTGGAAATTGGCAAGTTCTCTGGCTTTTCAGATCAGTTCCTAAAAGGGGATCTAGCTGCTGCTTCATCACTTTCTTTAAAAAACAAAAAGGAAAGAAAGGGGTAAAAGGGGGGGGGGGGGCGTGCAAACACTCCGAGAGTCTTCCACTTTACCCAGAACACCCACACATGTGAGCGTCTACAAACGGAATCTATATTTAATAGATTTGATTTTTCTTTTTTTTTTTTTTTTTAAGGCGAAATGCTCTCCTTTTGATCGTTCCTTCCTCCCGCTTGAAACATACATCTGGGAGGCTGATCACGTAATCCAACTCAGAATTCCTCCACAGCCCGTGGAATTTGTTTGCACTCTGAAAACCTCTAGATCCTCCGCGTAGCGATCAAAGCGGAGGGCAGCGAGGAGAGCCCAGAGAGGCAAGCTCGTGCGCCTTCACGGAGATTTATGGGGAAGAAGAGGAAGCAGCCCAGCTTCGCCGACTGGGTGATCTGACAGCCGGCTTCCTCCGCGGGGACAACTCGGCACCCCGGGCTACGTCTGGCGGCTGAGGCGGCGCCGCCGCGCGCAACAGATAGAGGAGTTCAGCGAGAACTTTCTGGGGAGGTCCACTAGCCCGACCCGACCGACTGTTCCACTGGGCAGAAACGCCGGGAGCGCTTACAATCTGCTCTTCACTGCCACATGCTAACCATCTGCAGCCGTGGCGGCCAGAAGCCCACGCCCCGCCCTCGCGTTCCCCTCAGCTGTGTAGCGAGGACCAGGTAAGGAGGGAGCTTGAGAGAAAAAAAAAAAAAATCAACAGGGTGATTCCACCCCGGGAAGAACATTCAAGAAAGTCCTGGTCCCCGGGGCGGGGACAGCGGCTGCTGCAGCCGCCGCGGTCGGAAGCGGGACGGGGGCGGAGGTGGGAAGGGGAGCGTGGGAGAGGGCAGCCGGGCCTGGGGGGCGCGGGGCGCGGGGCGACTTGCCAAGCCTCCAGACGGCGAGGTACCGCGGCTGCTGCGGTGGACGGGAGAGCCCTCGCCCCCCGAGCCCGCCCTCCAGCACGGGGAGACACCGGACCGCCGCAGCCGCCCGTGCGAGCACCACGGCTGCCCGCGGGCCTCCGTTCTCAGCCTCCAAGGTCGAAAGAGCACCTCACCTGGAACGTGGGACGGGACGACGGCACGCTCCTCAGGTCCCTGTCGCCTGCCCCCGGGGCCGGCTACCTACACCCTGCCCTCAGTCCGCTGGCGGCGCGACTGGGCAGCAGAGGGAGCCAGTTAGCCCTTTTATAACCTCCAGGCCGCGACGGCAGCGCCGGGGAGGAGGCGTCCGCTGCCCTCGCTACGTGAGGCCGATCACACCCGCGCCCCGGCGACTGCGCAGGCGCCCGTCCCCGCCCTCCCGCCCGCCCCCACCCGTGGCGGGCCCGTGGAGTGTGAGGCCGAGAGGAGGGGCTGGGCCGGGCCGCCGTGGGCCGGGCCGGCAGGCCTGGGCGGCAGCGCGCCTGCGCAAGGCTCACGCCACGCCGCTGTTTCCGTGGTTACCACGGGCTTCCTCGGCTCCTGTTGGTGTAGCGCCCGGGTTTCGGGGTCCGCGTGAGGGCTAGCCAAGACGTTAAAAATGAGGGGAGCGAGGGCGTGTAGAAAGTAAAGCAGAAAGTCATGGTGTTTCGGCTGGCCTGGGCCCAAAGGCTTTTGGCTCTTACTGTCCTCTCACATTGATCAGGGCATCTCATAGCTATGGCGCTCAGTCTCCCACGTTTACGCTCCATCAGCAGAGGGTAGGCTGAAAGCCGCTGAGTCAGATTGTCTGGATTCAGATTTTGGCTCAGTCCTGCTGGGGTTTAACAATCTCTTAATTCAGTTCCATCATGGATAGGAATAACGGACTACCAATGCCGGGGGATTGTTGTGAGAATCAGGTGGTGAAGGTAGGGCTCGGAGCACGTGCCTCACCAGCGCCCAGCAATTCGGTTGGAACGTTCAGGAGTCTCTGTCAGACGCCGAAGGTCGCGTTTGTTCCTAGTCTAGTGGGTCATCAGTATTCCTGAAAGAAGAAGGCCTTACTGTCAGGCAGCAGTGAAGGAGATCCTTTGACCTTGTCGGTGAATGGGGGGGAAACGCTGATATTCGTTAAAAATTGTTTCTTTTTTTTTTTTTTAAATTTTTTGACAGGCAGAGTGGACAGTGAGAGAGAGACACAGAGAAAGGTCCTCCTTTGCCGTTGGTTCACCCTCCAATGGCCGGCGCACCGCGCTGATCCGATGGCAGGAGCCAGGTACTTATCCTGGTCTCCCATGGGGTGCAGGGCCCAAGCACTTGGGCCATCCTCCACTGCACTCCCTGGCCACAGCAGAGAGCTGGCCTGGAAGAGGGGCAACCGGGAAAGAATCCAGCGCCCCGACCGGGACTAGAACCTGGGGTCCCGGCGCCGCTAGGCAGAGGAATAGCCAAGTGAGCCATGGCGCCGGCAAAAATTGTTTTCTAAACTTATCTGTGTATCCCACAAAGTATAGCAAGAATTAACATGTAACTCTTATCTGGAAGATGGGCTTGACTATAAAAATACAGAATTCGAGGAAAGGTACCTGGGGAGCCCTAGGCGAACCAGAAAGTAGCGATGGTGCTGTCTGAATGGACGGTTCTCGAAGTAGTCCGGGGGCCCACAAGCTCGCGGCTGTTTCGTACTAAGACCGTATTCCCCTTTTCCGCCCCAACACTGCAGTGGGGTATTCCGGAGACTAGGTGTGCTTGGGTGTTGCCATGGACTGAAAATTGAAAACAGCGCATTTGTATGTCTTCTTTCAGGCCGGGCGTTGAAGAGATTTGCAGCAACCTTGCACCACGCTGTTTTTTTTTTTTTTCCCTTGGAAAATATAGTTATTTTCATTTAAAAGTTATTTATGTTAACATGTAACACATTATAATTTTTAAATGAATTAATGACTCAATATTTTCCATATTTAACTCCTGATGCCGTAGATGTTGGTGGACGCGATTCCCGTATTGCAATCCTCAATACTTTCTGGGAGTGTGAAGTGGTCACAGACCCGAGAGTGACTCCAGGCCGCAGGGCAGATTAAGCGAAGCCAACAAGGCTGCAGCTTCAGCGCTCCTTATTTGCACTGCCCCTTTCCTAGGCAGAGGCTCCTGTAAAGCTTGTAAAAGCAGACATTGTACCTGCAGCTTTCAGTCAGCACACACTTCCCTTCTGCGGTGCTTCCTTTTGTCTCATGGTGTTGGCATCTTAAAAATTTAGCTGAAGTTGACTTAAGGATACATTTGGTTTCAGTTTAGTGGAATATATTTTTGTAACCCATAGTCACTTGCATGTGTAGTTAAGATATTGCCAGCTGTCCCAGGGTAAGACTGGTATCTAAGAATATGCCTACCACCCATTGTGCTGACCCACCCAGCACTGTTGAAGCGTAGGTGCAGGGCCAGACCTTTTATAGTTAGCTGAATGCGTCCTGTGTTCCAGCATCAAAAATACGTGGATCAAAGAGGAAAAGCAGGGCTGACATTTAGGGGGCCTGAAGGTTACCTGTGGGAAATTCTTGCAGATGGCGGACATGTAAAAAAATTAAAGTTGTAGCCGGCGCCGTGGCTCAATAGGCTAATCCTCCACCTTGCGGCGCCGGCACACCGGGTTCTAGTCCCGGTTGGGGCGCCGGATTCTGTCCCGGTTGCCCCTCTTCCAGGCCAGCTCTCTGCTATGGCCAGGGAGTGCAGTGGAGGATGGCCCAGGTGCTTGGGCCCTGCACCCCATGGGAGACCAGGAAAAGCACCTGGCTCCTGGCTCCTGCCATCGGATCAGCGCGGTGCGCCGGCTGCAGCGGCGGCCATTGGAGGGTGAACCAGCGGCAAAGGAAGACCTTTCTCTCTCTGTCTCTCTCTCTCACTGTCCACTCTGCCTGTCAAAAAAAAAAAAAAAAAAAAAAAAAAAATTAAAGTTGTAGTGCTTATCAAAACAAGAAAGGCAATTATTTCCTGCCAGAATTTAATAAGAACATCCCCAACAAATGTTATCAGTTTAAAGGAGGTTCATGTGCTGTGAATCCTTTTCAGTAATGTATTAAGCATCCTATTTAGAGAGTATCCAAAATTTACCATAATTCTAAAAATCTGTATGATATTATCAACAGTGAGTTATGGAACTAAAAGAACCTTTTCTAACATATCTCTATGATAATATAAAACTTTAAACAACCATAATAAGAGAAAAAGCTGTTAGCTACCTATCTTCTCCATAGAATTTGTTACAAAATTATTACCATATGAAGAGATAAGCAACATGAAGCCTAGGGGCAGGCATGTGGCACAGTAGGTTAAGCCTCTGCCTGCGATGCACATATCCAATATAAACGCCAGTTCAAGTTCTGGCTGTTCCACTTCTCCCTGCTAATGTACCTGGGAAAGCGGTGTGGATTGACCAAAGTTTCTGGGACCCTGACACCCACGTAGGAGGCCTGGATGGAATTCCACACTACTGGGATCAGTCAGGCAGTTGTGGCCATTTGGGAAGTGAACCAGCAGATAGAAGATCTGTATTTCTCCCTCACTCTCTTCATTTCTAATAAGCAAATCTTTTTAAAAATATGAAGAATAAAAATATGAGGCATGATGATGGCCCAAGTGCTTGGGCCCCTGAACCCACATGGGAGACCCAGAAGAAGCTCCTGGCTCCTGGCTTCGGCCTGGCCCAGCCCCAGACGTTGTAGCAACTTGGGGAGTGGCCAGCCTCTGTCTCTTCCCTTTTCTCTGTAGAGCTACCTTTTAAATAAATAGATAAATCTTTTTTTTTTTTTAAATGAGACTAAAATATGTACAGAAAGAAAACTAATATAGAGGTGTGTCATATAATTAATGAAGATAGTATGTTCTTTTTCTGAATTTAAGATGTTCATGATTGGCCGGCGCCGCGGCTCACTAGGCTAATCCTCTGCCTTGCAGCGCCGGCACACCGGGTTCTAGTCCCGGTTGGGGCGCCGGGTTCTGTCCGGTCGCTCCTCTTCCAATCCAGTTCTCTGCTGTGGCCTGGGAGGGCAGTGGAGGATGGCCCAAGTGCTTGGGCCCTGCACCCGCATGGGAGACCAGGAGGAAGCACCTGGCTCCTGGTTCTGGATCGGCGCAGCGCGCCAGCCAGCCATAGCAGCCATTTGTGGGGTGAACCAACAGAAGGAAGACCTTTCTCTCTGTCTCTCTAACTCTGCCTGTCAAAAAAAAGAAAAAGAAAAGAGGCATATTTTTGGCTCATGGTTTTGGTGAGAGTAAGTCCAAGACTGGGCAACCATATCTGGCAAGGGCTTCATGCCACTTCATAATATGGTGATCAGCATCACATGGCAGAACCATGAGTAAAAGAGAGCGAGAATAAGAGAAAAAGTTCACATGTGGAAAGAGAAAGCAAGAGAACAAGCCAAGAAAGCCAGACTTACTTTATAACAACCTACTCTTGATAGGGCCAGAGCTGTGGCGCAGCGGGTAAAGCTGCTGCCTGCAGTGCCACCATCCCATATGGGCACCAGTTCGAGTCCTGGCTGCTCCACTTCCAATCCAATCTCTGCTATGGCCTGGGAAAACAGTACAAAATGGCCCAAGTCCTTGGGCCCCTGCACCCACATGGGAGACCTGGAAGAAGCTCCTGGCTCCAGGCTTCGGATCGGCGCAGCTCTGGCCGTTGCAGCCAGCTGGGGAGTGAACCAGTGGATAGAAGACATCTCTCTCTCTCTCTCTCTCTGCCTCTCCTTCTCTCTGTGTAACTCTGACTTTCAAATAAATAAATCTAAAAAAAAAAAAAAAAAAAAAAAAAAAAACTACTCTTGTCAGCAGTCCAGTCCTCAGGACCTACTCCTCCACTATGGCCCTGAATTCTTTCTGAGGTTGGTGCCCCAGTGACTTCTTCACCACCCACTAGCCCTCCCCTCAGAGGTTCCATCACCTCTTGATGCTGTTGCATGGGGGACCAAACCTCCAGCACGTGAACCTTTGAGAGAAAAACCATATCCAACCCATAGCAATAGTGTTTCTCAGTGTTTTTTTTTACATTTGTCATTTGCTTGCCCAAAACAGGCACTTCATATTAAATCTACATTCAACTCCTGCTCAGTCATAAGGAAAATGGGAGCTACCTGGAAAAGCAGAAACAGAGTAACACAAGGCCCCTCTGAATGACCTCTCTGTAAACCTCTAGTAAATCTCTTTGTCTTGAATCTGGGAAAGGTGAAGGTGTTTATCAATTAATAAATTCATCATGGGATGCAGACTGTGGCACAATGGGTTAAGCCACTGCATGGGATCCCCCAT